AATAAGATGCAAATGAGAGTTTTGCATCCCTGTCCAATGGTCTGTAACCGGTCAGTTGGCATTTTCTAATAAATAACTCCTCAGCGAAGGCCTTCTTTCTTTCAAGGGTATATGCACTCAGCGACTTTACGAGGTGAGAAAAAGTTTACGATGGAACGGTTTTAATGCGCTTACTCTCTGGTGTATCACTGTTATAGAAGGGATTTGTACAGTCATGACTACGTACACATAAAAAGGAAAAAATGATTCCCATTAGACGGTCCCCCTTCATCATGAGCTTAGCTACCGTGGGCGGTGCCAGGGGCCTTTATTATTCTGTTTAGTATGTACACTTTGGCTTCCACCATCATCCCAGGTCGATTTTTCTTTGGTATCCGGGCGATATCGGCGCCTGACTCACTGCGGAACTCACACTTTGGGCGCATTGCAGTTGCCAGCAGTTTGTAAATGCATCAAGCAGGGTTATAAAAAACTCAGTATGGAAATCAACTCCATGTGTTCAATGCAAAGTCAAGTCCGTGGTGACCCTCTGGTAAACAGGGTTGCAGGTTCATATCCCTTCAAACAGTCCTTTCAACAGCTTTGTGCTTACCTAAGTTTTTATTCAAGCAAGCTTACAGTCTCCTGAAAACCGAAAGATTCCTTGGATGACCGACGGTGGAATTCGTCTATTTATACCACCCTTCATCAGTATTTTCCAGAAGGATTCTAAGAAGGAAGTTAAACAGTCAATGATGAACCTAAATTCCGAACAAAACTGTGTTCCGTTACTTCAGTTTTCCTAAATCCCATCAAGAACCTCGGTAAAAATACAAGGTTAAACATTCTGTATGAAGGGAGAATAAAGGGTATGCAGGTAGCTTAATGTGCTGTATATCCATACCATTATTCGTGGTGTTCTGGGTCTTATGTTTGGAACTGAGGTTACTTTCATCTTACGACGAAAACACCCTTTTCATCATGTGATCTACCGGGTGTCTCATAATAGACGCAAAATTTTATTGGGTAAGTAAACGTAATAATTTGAAAAAGGATAACAAAATTTTTAATATTAGTAGCCACATAAAGGTTTTGTGCGCAAGTATTACCATTTTTTGTTTACGATGAATGTTAATACGCGTGTTCAAATTGTGAAACTCTATAATTCCCTTGGTGAAAGCGCCACCGCTGCACTTCGTTGTTACAAAACCAAACATGGTCTCCTCAAAGATCCTCTCACGATGTCGACCATTACAGGCTTGATTGCGAAATTAGAGTCTATTGGATATGTACTGGATTTTCCTGACAAAGGGAGAAAGTCTCTGAGTGATGGAAGAGCGCCCATTGTACAGAATGCCGTTGAGGAACTTCAGTCCCAGAGTATCTTGGCCTCTTCGTCAATAACTCAGGTGTCTCAGTTGACCGGCATTCCCCGCTCCAGCGTGCTTCGTATTATGAGACGCCACCTTCATCTCTACCCGAATCATTTCACTTCATTACAAAACATCATGGAAGAAGACGAGGAGCAACGTGTCACGTTCGCTAACTGGCTGCTGGACAATGAAGAAATCGTTCCCAACATTTTATGGAGCGATGAAGCAAATTTTTCTGTGGATGGCATAACCAACAAGCAAAATTGCGTGATATGGTCCCGTGAAGCTCCTCACGAGTACCATAATCCTCATTCCCCTCATCCCTGTGCGTGGATGGGATTCTCCTCAAAGTGTCTCCTGCGTTCCTTTTTCTTTGATGTTACAGTTTCCGGCGACCGTTACCTCCATATGCTGCAGACGCATGTTATCCCGCAACTCGAGCAGCACGAGAAGTCATCAATTGTCTTTCAACAAGATGGCGTTCCACCCCACTACACAAACCAAGTGAGAACTTACCTCCGAGAGCAATTTTCTGATGAGAGAGTCATTGCTCGTGGATTTCCAAACTTTTGGCCCGCAAGGTCACCCGATCTCACACCTCTGAATTATTGGTTTTGGGGAATGATCAAGGCTCGCGCATATCATGAAAACAAATCGAAGAATTTGGTGGAGTTAAAAGCAAGAAGTAAAGAGGAGTGTGCACGCGTGACGCTTGAAGTTAAACAGGCTGTGTCTCACATCTCATACCGCATCTAACTTGTTATAGAGTAAAAAGGGTAATTTTTCCAACATCTTTTTTAATGTCAGTCCGTTCACGAAAAACCTCCATGATGCACGTATGATCACATAAAAAATAGTAAATGTTTAATTGGTGTTAATGTTTTAACATGGGTATCTTTTTGCGTTTATTAAGAGACATCCTGTACTTATGTTTCTAATGTCCTTCAAATAATATTGCTCTTACAATGGAAAATCCTCGCTAATCTGGACCAGTTCAAGTTACAAGTGTAACCGCAGTTCTCCGGTTGTGTCAATTATTGCACGGGCAATTTGTCTTCTTTTGTTTAGGTCGTGAGTGGAGTACTTTCTCCACTTCTGTTTACATCACAGATTTCTGCAGGCCTTCCGGAGCTGCTCACCAATCTGGTGCCCTACCCGGAGGCGCACCTTGTGATTGGTTCGCTGAGCCCACTACGTGGGAGCAGAAATACGAACTACGAGGGTGAGTGAACAAAATGTTGCACGTTTCGTATGCAGTATCCCGCCAAGAAGCAGCTAGCAAGAGAGATCACTTTGCCACTGACTAAGAACACATTATCCTACGTTTTTACCTTGAATTTTCCTACATTAAGGCACCAGTTGGGCACATAACTAACCACAGCACATGCAAGGGGTTACTAAATAGAACTTTCAGCTGCTCAAACCTCTGATCACCATAAAGAGAGGCTACAGCTAAAAAGAAGGTACAATAGCCACTCAAGATATAACAGACAGAACAAAGTCCGTTTTCTTAAACTGCAGATAATTTACAGTTGGGCAAATCAACATCAGGGACAACAATATCAGTGTTGTCGCTGACCGAAAAAAGTGAGAGCATTTGACGAAACCCATGCAATTTGGGTTCAATTAGACCTCGGGGTCCGCATTTACTTGATGAGTCCCAAGAGAAGCCACCCACGTCGTGAGCAAGCAAAAAACTTTCGGCGACTTTATGAGTAGTATGTCATGTCTGAAATTAGTAGACCTTTGAAAAAGTTCTCATCACATCATCCCGCAAAACTTAATATATGGCATGATCACCCGCGTTTTTGTGTACATTACTTGAATAAAAGACTTATGGTTCTTCAGATATGATTGCTGTTGAAAAGTATTATTCATCATTGCTTCTATGAGAGCCCCTTGCAGTGGATGCCCCATTCTGGAAGAATAAGTACCACTGTTCCCCGAAAGAGAGGATTTAACGTACAGTCCCTCCAAGAAAGATGCTCGTCATGAGAATTTTAGTAGTTTCTTTCATATTTACGCGCACTGCCTATCAGTGAAAAGAACAAGTCCATCTTTTTGATACAACCTACAATAATGGGGTATTTTTATCCTGCCCCATGTTAATTGTTGCGTAACGCATATTTGGAATTTTACACCTCACAAACACATGAAAGAATTTTTCTTTGGCGGACGTGAAGAGACCTTGTTGCTCAGCGAACTTGTTAATATGAGATGGTTACTTTCCAAGGCAAACTACTCCGTTACCAAAGGGTCTGACTACCCGTCAGCACTTGTGTCTATGTAGTACAGTGCCGCAATACGAGGACCCTAATGAGGTTGTCGATTATCGGACACATAGTGACAAATTATCCTCACCTTTTGCAGCAATTTTCTCCTGAATCTACCTGAGTGTGTTGTCTTGGTGATATTGCCACAATTTAACCCGGGCGTCCAGGCTAGCAGTGATTAGGAAACTTAGTGACAAGCAGAGTAGGCTGCACTACACAGTTTGTTCAAACACATTTAAACAGTTTAATCCACAGATCCATTACAATAAGTGGACAGTCCATTGGACTGTATTATCAGTCGTGATACATTCAGGTTAGACTTAAAGTTGTGGAAATTATCATCTGACCAGGTATTTTGATAAAAGGAATACCTGCATATATCGACGATACTGAACATGAGGCCGTAGCCCCAAAAAGAGGTGTCAGTCCTCTCCAGAATAAAGAATCTTTTACTTCTGGCCCGACTGGATTAGCCTTTTCGAAAGATAACGTGCCAAAATCCCGTGAAAGACCATCTGCTCATTATAAGATTTGTTTACTACATGCAGGTGTTATAAAAGGAATAAGGTCTTCGCTGCGGAGTTACTTATTAGTAAGTGTCAACTGAACGGTTACAGACCAGTGCACAGGGAAGCAAAACTCACATGCATCTTGTTTACACATCCATCTTCTCCTGAACGCGTCTTCTTGAACTTTCCTGGGTATTCATTAACTCCAATCATTCATTTCTCAAATTCAAACAAATGCTACTAAGCGACTCCACCAATTCCGCAATAGATCTCCCTTTTCAAGAGACGCAAAGCTAATTTACGAGAAAACCTACTACTCGCATGTCTCCCCTATAAGTAGTATCGCCGTTACACTGGTATGTTTTCTTCAGTATTTAGCTCGAAAAAATGAGGTTTCTACATGGTTATTCGTAATTGAGGTCAGAAGACAGTATTCCTCCATCCAAAGAACAGATACAGAATGGTTGGAGAGAAGATGCTGCCCAGCAGTTACTCCAAAATTTACGGTTGGATTATTTGGAGGCTTTGAACGCAGGTGACTATTTGTACAACTCACATTTTTATGTATAGAGAGTTTGGGAAAAACGATACACGCCTTGGTGCTATACGCAAAGCGAGACTGATCGATACAGACTTTTGTGTCCAAAATGCGCTCGATTCGATTCTTCAGTAGACTGTAGACGAATCCATGAAACCACCTGGTTTGAAATGTTAGTTTCGACGACAATTTTATTTACCATAAGTCTAAATATGAACTGTTTTTCTTTCTGACCGAATCTGCACGGATCTAGCGCTGTCATGTTGTGAAATAACAGAACAAGCCTTCAGGGCACAAAACCAGCTCCTTTCGAGCCCAGCGGCTTATCAACCAACCTACCTATCCTGCTGCCTACTTTATCGTGGAGGTGTGACCGGGAAGCACATCAACAACGCGATAATCAAATTGAAGAAATCCGGAAATTTACCCTGGGTCGACTGGTGTCCGACCGGATTCAAGGTGGGTTTTGCCTCTGTACAATGATAGTATAAAAACCTAGCTGTTTCAGTTGTAAAACAATTCAGCTGGAACGAAAAATGCTGGGGGGCGCCTTTCAAACATTGTAAAATGACTGAAATGGTTGAGCTTGAAAGGGACCAAGTGATCACTACACTTGGGCCTTCATGGATGGGCAAACAAATGTAGCAATAACCACTAGTCAACCTCCAAGTGGATCAGACGATTATCTAATCCAGACACTCAAGCGGTTTGAGAAAATGTTTAGGTGCTGTATCCATCACACTAGGTGCAGACATATCGCGCTACGTGAACTTAGAAATCGTATTTGAAAAATGCTTTACCCACTTCTCGTAGCGCCAGAAAAATGAGCTAGAAACTCAAGCTGGGCTCGACGGTTGGCAACGACTGGTCTTAACCCACTCTTTCACACTGGAAATTACACTTCCTAGGTCCTTTTCTGTCGATTTGTCCTTGTCTAAAGTGTACAAATGTTTTACCGTTTGTGTCGAGGTTCTCGTACCGAGAATGCCTCATACTGATTTCTCCACTTACCACAGACTAGCCACTTATCACAGCACTTTTTCCACTCATACTACGCAAGCAATCAGTGCAAAATGACCCCTAATTTGTATTCCAAACGGAAGGGAGTTCACACTGCGATGGTGCGATCAATACTTTTTTATGGATCAGAAACGTGGCCCTACGTGCAGAGGATGTAGGGGAGATGCCAGTGTTTGACCATCGACATCTCGGAAGCATTTATTAGGTCTGTTGGGAACACCGGATTAGCAATGCTGAGGCACGCCAAGTGGAAGAAAGAACTATCCCGCGATAGATGAATTTCTCACGCTTCATAGGCCGCGCTGGTTGAGATATGTGCTCCGCATGCCAGAAGATCATCTGCCCCACAGAACTCTTTTTTCCCAGCCCTGAGCTGAGTGCAAACGGCCCAGAGGTGGACAGTACATGACCTGGCAACGAAGCACGAAAACACGGATCAGTAAAGTTAGTCGGGTAGGCAACTACCGATTTCCTGGATGGACACCGCGGGTCCCAAATCACTGATGGTTAATGACATTGTCGGAAATAGTCCAATCACGAAGTTAGTGGCGCTCATTAATCAAAGCTATCTCCTTCAGTGCGTAGCTACCCACTATCGGAAAAAAAACCGGACATGCCTTCGCCTCCAAGCCTCGTACGTCCCACACTCTGTTTTTCGGTGATCCAAACTGTAGCAGCTGAAACCAATGTGCCTATGGTACACGGTTTATAGCTGATTGATTGATTGATTGATTGATTTCCTTAGCAAGAAACAAAAGGCATACAGCCATTGCTGTACCACGAAAATTCTATATGAAAGCAAAATGTGTATAGCGAGACGGAGGGAATATCAGCGATTATCCAATTAGACAGCAATGTGGAAAATCAGCTGTGAAGTTCAATCACGTGAGATTGACGGAGAGAGCAAGCATCCTCGGAATTTCATTCAGTAGCAAACCCTTCCGGTAAGTGGCCAAATGGTGGTCCATATCGACTCCCGATAACTTCGCATCATTCGTGGTATGTGCGTATACTTCACTTTGAGTTGGGATAATGTTAGCACCAAGTGAAGATTTGTTAGAATATCAGTTATGGTTTTAACATCCTTCGATATATTCTAATTCAGTTTCCCTGGTTTAAAGAGCTCGGTATAACACACAGCATGAACAAAACACCTATGTTCATGAGAGTTTTGTCAGGTGGCTCATGCGTGCATCTTGCTACTCCTGCGTTTCATTAAGGCACAGGATATCTTTTAGCGTTGCGGTTGATTGGTCTCGTGAATGCACCGAAAATACCCGCGTTCCTCTCATCTTCTAGGTCGCAGTTTCCAATCAACCAATGACTATCGTCCCTTCGAGTTGTATAGGTCAGACAGATTGTTCACTTCTGATGCTGCACAACTCCACAATGATCATTCCTGCACTGAGCCATGTGCTTGACGAATTTCGAATGCTCTACTCTCGGCGAGCTTTTGTGCACTGGTATACGTCCGAGGGCATGGACGAGGCACAGTTCACCGAAGCGTCACTCAGTTTGGCTCAAATACGAGATGAGTATACACAGGTGAGCTTCTCAGAAATTATGGTGATTAATCACAGTTCAACTATGAATACTGAATGCGTGGAATTTGGAACCACATGGACAAAACAGATGCTAAATATTCTGGGGGTCCAAAGAGTATAGCTTTCAAAAGGCGTCATTTACAGGCTCACTGTCTCAATCCCATAAGTGGGTGGAAAAACCATCATCGTTAGAAACAAAAACTGTAGCCTTCATTCTATTCCCTTAAGTAGTTTTTTATGCCCCTTTTAAGAGTGGTTAACTATGTCAGACGTTTTCAGCAACTTCTAAGCTCAGGATCACCAACAGTCGAGTACCTAGCCAGCAGCGTCAATGTTTTCCGATCGACCAAGCGACAATCCTGTCAACTGAGCCGTTTGAATTTACGGAAACCAAATGTTTCGTTGGTCTGGTCATGTAGTGCACACGTCCGATTTGAAGGCGAGTAGTCGTCATTTGGTCATAGGTCTACTTGCTTCCTAGGACGAGATCCAATCAAGCGGCGATGAACTCCGGCCCTTGTTCGGATGATATTCTCATCTGAATTGGGAAGGCCAGAGCAGCCCTTGTGAACCTGCATCACCTAGGGGTGACATCAGCTTCTTTGTCAAGGGTTGAGTTTACAATACTGCGGTGCACTCCGTATTACTATACGGATCAGAAACCTGGCCGATGCGCGCTGAGGACGTCAAAAGACTCTCAGTGCTTGACCATTGATGTCTTCGAAGCATTGCCCGAATCTGATGGGAACACCGGATCAGCAATGCTGAAGTTCGTCGAATGGTATTCGAGAGATATAACACACCCTTGATAGATGAACTGATTACACTACATAGCTTGCGCTGGCTTGGCCACATACTGTGTATGCCAGTGGACCGACTTCCTCAAAGGGTTCTTTTGCACAACCACGTGAAGGGTGGGAGAGAGCCAGAGGCGGTCAAACAATGACTTGGCAGCGAATTATAAAAGCCATTACCAGCAAACTCAGCTGCACTGGTCACTGCCGTCTTCCTGGATGGGGACGCCGAGACGGGCCATATCAATGGTTAGAGACATTGTCAGATATGGCCCAGTCGTGCCCTCATTGGCGCTCATGCATCCAAGCTATTGCTTTCAATGCATAGCTCCCTTCCCAATCCCCCCACTTGATAGCCCACTGACAGTGCTGGATTTATGCACTAATTTATCAGTTCCCGCCCCCAATGCACAGCTACCTACCCCATCTCCTCGAATCATCGGTGAACGAAACTGTGGCCGCTACAGCCATTGTACGACGAGTACGCGGTTCTTACAGCTGACCGTGATGATGATGACGGTTGAAAGCCTGTGCTCAGAATTAATCGATCTTTGGGGGCACGATGAAATTATAGATAACGGAGTGCAAAATTTTGCCCAACTACCTAAGTTGCTCTGTCTCTGTATATAAGTATATATATATTGCGTAAGCATCCTCATGGTTCATATATACACACATATATATACCTGTCTGTTTATCCATCCGTGTATGCCTGCCTATCTCTCGATCTGTATATGTATAAATGTATGTACATATGTCATCCATGAAACCATTGGACTGAATTCCTAAATTCAGGGATGATCTGTATTTCCAGTGCCACACTTTGAGTGCATCTACAAAAACCAGCAGTTCTCTATTTGACCGGAAAAGCAGTTAAACGTACTCTATGAACCTACATCCTAGGCACGTTAGTGCCCACACTATGGCGTTCTGTGATCATCAGTCGACCGATGGCCGGGGAGAAAATCAGGGTATACCAGTGATGAAAAAACGTAGACTCAGATGGCTGCTTGACGCGTGTGGTGGGGCAGGAAATCCTGTCACTTGAGGCTTAAACGGATGGCCGACTGGGCGGACAAAGTAAAGAGTAGATAAGGTTGTTTACTGTGGTGATTTCGTCCTGTAAGTGAAGCCAATCATGCTGAAAAA